AAAAAAAAAAGCCGGCCGGCCGGGTCTGATTTAAAATTTCATGTTATGAAAACCAAGTAATTAAATTTGTATGGCCTAATTGATCAACATATTTTTTTCTTAATTTTGCTGATCAACCTGTCACACATTCCGGACTTGCGATCCGCAGATCTTATTAACATCAATAAACTATCTCGCAATAAACTAATATTATAATTTACATTATTTTATTAATGTAGGAGCGATAGGTGCGATATCGAACTTTTTCAACGTAGTATTTTAGAATATGGCACTTGCCCAGACTGCCATTTACAAAATACCTTTATTTGCTGGTGTAAGTCTTGCAATTCTGAAAGATTTCGCAAAAATTTTATGAATTGGACAAGTGGAGATGAAAATATTAATGATCTTATTCGAGAAGCTCAATTATCAGCCGAAAGTCCCTGGGAAATTTTAGAATTCATTCCATACGATCGCCTTAGGGACATTATCTATCTTTCTAGCGGCGGCTTTAGTCATATATATAAAGCCATTTGGATTGATAGTTATATTCGAAAATGGGACCCTAATCAAAATGATTGGGTTAGGAAGAAACTCAGGATACACAATTGGAGTTACATTTATGATACAGATACACCAACCATTAATTCAACCATTGGAAGAATGGTCGTGCTGAAAAGTCTTAAAAAATTTGCAAGCAAAGAATTACTACTGACAGAAGTAAGTTTTTTCTATACATAATGAGCTGATGTGGCTAAGCTGATTTAGCTTAAAAATTGTGGAACAATGTGATATTTAACAATATATCATTAAATCATAGGTAGTAAACCATTTACGATCGTTTAAAGCTGCGAGAAAAATTGGATCAATGATATTTCCGTTAGTTGGAATTACTAAAAACCCAATGACCTTGGAGTATATGGTCGTAATGAAGTATGCACAAAATAAAAGTCTTAAAGATAATTTACCTCTAATTTCCAATTTGGGATGGGAAAAAAGACTCTTTATGTTATTTCACATTATTTCTGGGCTTGTTGGTATTCATCAGTCCAATCTAGTGCATAGAGATTTACACAGCGGTAATATACTCCTTTACGGAGTATTGGAAGGATACTATATTTCATTGATAAGTGATTTGGGGTTGGCAACCCCTCCTACGTCAAGCAAAAAAGAATTATATGGTGTTCTTCCATATATTGCTCCCGAAGTATTAATGCATAAACCCTATACTAAGGCAGCAGATATATACAGCTTTGCAATATTAATGAGTGAAATTGCGACTGGAGAGTCTGCATTTAGTAATATCATACATACCAATAGCCTAAGTATTAAAGTCTTATTTGGTCACAGACCAGATGTTAATATCGATATTACACCTCAATGTTACATATCATTGATGGAAAGATGTTGGGATTCAAATCCACTTAAACGTCCAACAGCTAATGAATTGAAAAATATCATCAGCAACTGGCTTGAATGCCACAAAAAAAATAAAGATATTGAAGAAGATAGTGAAGTCATGCAATTTCGTAATGCTGACAAGAAGTTGAAAGAATCTTCAAACCTAATTTCTCATTTAAGATCAAAAAGTTATCATCCTGAAGCATCCTGCAACAGTAGATTTCTTAACCCTTTACCACTAAGTAATATGTATAAAATTAAAAATGGTAATGACAAAATAACGGTAAATTGACTGAATTTGCAAATGTTTGGATGGCATAGCCAATTATTTGCATATTCAAGTCAATTATCCAATACTGTATTTGTAATATGTGGTTATAAAGTTATAATTCATAAATTGCTTATTAATATATATTTCACAGTTTCAGAAACAATTGCTGTAGCCAGCAAGGAAATAAGTATGTTTGTAATTTTTGTCTTTTAATTATTTTATAATTGTGCATTAAAATTTACTATCTTAAAACATTGTAATTAGCTTTTACGATAGATAAAAACATTCAAAGAATCTAAAATTTAATAGGAGTTTGAAATTTTTCTTCATTTATTTGGTCATTGCTTCCACTTGAACATGCTACATCACCAACTTATTATTCAATTGATCACGCAGCAAGCCATCTAGGTTAAATGTTCAGAAATTACCTTTATTGATTTAAACCTTATTGAACATTTGTAGAATGAGATTAATAAGCAAATAAAACAGTCATCTCTGGTAATTTCTAAGCTAGATGAGCTATAGAAGATAATCCAAAAATTTGATCAAAATGGATATGGACTATCTTAACAAGCTTATTAAAAGTATGCCAGATCGCAAATGAATATTTATGATATGAAAAGAGGTTATACAATATGGTAATTTTTTTTTAAAAAAAGTATAGCTCTTTATTTTTTTTTCTTTTGTAATTTTGAAATGTTTAAAATTTGACTAAAACGATCAAAAGAAATGCATCGCTAAAAATCGAATAAATTTTTATTTGTTCAATTTTTTTTTAATAATGTAAATAAATAATGATAATTTAACATTAGCCCGGATTCAATAAACTAAATAAAAAAAATTCGTAATCATTAATTACGTATTGAAAAAATTATTAGGTTTTAAAGTTCACCCGTGATGCAAAACAAATGATCGCCACTGTATAAATTACTTAAATTATCTAACGCTGAAAAATTGAATAATCTACTTGTATAACATGCTTTTGAATGCACTTTGGAAATATCTTGTGAAAAAGTAATATGTTCACTTTTTAGTCCCTCGGATTTTTTTAATTTGTACATATAATTCTGAATTTGGATCATCTATTTCTATTTTCCAATTATTAATTATTGCTAGCAATGTACTTGCATTTGGACGGTTTATTGGTATAGTATCCCAACATTGATTAATAAGCTGATTAAATAGATATGGTATTTCACTTTTAATTGATGGGCGTAAACCTTTACAAATATCAGAAGCCATATATATATCATGTGGAATTTCATAAAAAGGAGGTATTTCAGAAATTAATTCGTTCATAATAATTCCAAAACTGCACATTCTAAAACCATCATAAAATTATTAGTCTCTGGATCTCTAGTTAATCCATGACACCATATAGTGCATCTTCCATATTCTATATTTATATGAGACTTGACTAAAATTTAATAAAAAAAATTTTAATAACTTAATAAAATTACGATTTTAATAACTTATAAAGTTATCTAATCGTACCTCTTGTAAAAACTCTTCAAACTTATTATGAGAATTATCCAAACATTTTAAAGCTACTGACATTTCACCATATCTTTTCCATTGTTTTATTTGATGATCCCAACTTGTTATATATACATCAGTCCATATTGCCGAATATACTTTACTAAATCCGCCTCTATCTAAATATTTAATATCTTTAAGTTTATTAAATTGTATCCATTCTATGGCATCATAAAAATTCAATGCTTTTAATTGAGTTCCTTGTATAAATTCATCAATAACTTTATTTCCACTTGTCCACATGGTAAAATTTTCTTGGAAATGACGCATATTACATTTTTCACACCAGTTTTTATTTATGTTAAAACTATTACATTCTTTGCATATTTTGTGTCCTGATTTTAAATACCATTCAAACGCTTTTTCTTCATCCTTTTCAGTACCAATACCGTACTCATAAAAATTTCCAAGTTATTTTGTCCTTC